ACACACACACACACACACACACACACCCTCCTGCAAAGGAGACACACACACACACACACACAACTCCTGAAAAGGAGACCGCAGCAGCAGCCAAACGCCTGGAGGTGGGGGAAGAAGTGAGCAAGTTTGCAAGAGGCAACTCCCTCCCCCCCCAGCCCCCGAAGCTCTTCCTTTCCAGCAGAGAGGGGCGCAGAGCGCGAGCCGCGGCGGCCGCCCCCCCGGAAGCGCGCGGGGGGCCGGCGGCGCTCACCCATGAAGAGGCAGAAGAGATCCAGGCAGATGAGCAGCCCTTTCTTGCTGCCGCGCTTGGCCGGGTTGTTGTTCAGGGCCGGGCTGCCCCCGTTCTTGCTCTCCGGGGCGATCGCCTTGTCGTACTTGTAGTTCTGCATGGTCCGGCGGGGAGCGAGCCCGTCCCGAGGCGGCGGCGCGGCAGGCGCTGGCTGGCGGTGGGGCTGCTGGCTCCTGAGTTGTATCCAGGCCGGGGCAAGGGGGTGGGGGGCAGGCAGGGGAGAGCCGAGAGGCTGTGGGTGCTGGTCTCAAATCGCTCAGTGTCCTCGGCGGAGGCGAGGAAGGGGGGCACGATGCAACCGAGAAAAGTTTGCCAACAAGTTTGGAAGCCCCCAAATCCCGGGGCGGGGGGTTGGAGTAGCGGCCGCTCAGCCCCCTTTGGGAGGCAGGCTCAATGAATGGAAGCCGGGCTCCTGCAAAGCCACTTTCGCACAAAGCGCTGCTTGGGATCGGGGGCTGCTGGCTGGTCCCGGAGGCGAGGAAGGGGGGCACGATGCAACCGAGAAAAGTTTGCCAACAAGTTTGGAAGCCCCCAAATCCCGGGGCGGGGGGTTGGAGTAGCGGCCGCTCAGCCCCCTTTGGGAGGCAGGCTCAATGAATGGAAGCCGGGCTCCTGCAAAGCCACTTTCGCACAAAGCGCTGCTTGGGATCGGGGGCTGCTGGCTGGTCCCGCGGCGGATTCTTATTTCCCTAGGTCCTTTCCACCACCCCTTTAGCAACACACACCAAAAAAGAAAAGAAACCCGATGTCACTCCGGCTCGGAGGGGATAGCCAAGTACAGCCCCCTTCCTGAAGCTGACATATACATATGATAATTAACTCCACATTTTTTTTTTCAGTGGGAAGAAAAAAAAAAGTCAGGAAAAACTTCTCTTGGAGCAGGAGGGAGCCCCTAGTGTTCACCATGCAAGTGTCAAAGGGGAAAAAAGTTTTCAGGCTGGAAGATTTCCACAAGGAGGGGGGAGATGGTGGCAAATACCCCTTTAAATCTCTCCCTGGGGGTTTTCTTCTGATCAGCCTTACAGGTGAGGTGCAGAAATCAACCCCCTGCCCAACTGGAACTGCTCAATTGTGCGGTGTGGCTCAGTCTGGGGGTTATTTTGAATCTTCTTAAAATCTCTCAAAGCACCCTGCGATGCCAGACCACAAACAGGGAGACAGAAGCAGCCCTGGGTCTCAGCTGCTCCTGGGGGGCCAGGACACAGCCGCTGCACAATATGTAGGGCACAGGTTGACCACAGCCATCCCTCCTGGATGCTTGATCCAACGGCAAAGCCCCTCCGCAAACTTGGCTGCTTTGCTCTGCTGCAGAAGGAATGTTGTGTTAATGAAGCTAGAATAACTAAAGTGTTTGGATTTTTGGCTGGAACAGTCCCAGAGTTAGATGGTTGCCCAAATACTGTTTACCCAGGATTATTACATCTGTTGATTTCCCCTTTGATCTGATTAAAAATTGCCTAGAAAGTAATGGAAATTCCACCTTGGAATCCTGGCAGGGTTTGTAATTTTAATAACCCTGAGTTGAAGGCAGGAAGATCAAGATTTAAAGATGCTTGCAATTAAATTAAAATGACACCATTAAGGATACATTTGCAGTGCTGTCATAGCCAGGTGAGTCCCAGGATATTAGGCCATGTCTACACTAGGAAATTATTTTGAATTTACTGAATTTGACTTTTGGGCATCTGATTTTACAAATTCCAAATACTGTGTCCTCACTACAGAGAAGAATTGAATATAGTTCAAGGCAGGCTCCGTTAATGTGGACATGCTACCTCAGACTTAGAGTCCAAGAAGCACTCTTTGGGATACTGCAAGAGGCCTCCCAGAGGCCAGTTAATTCAAATTAGTGGCACCGGAGCATTCACACTAACGTTATTTCAGAATTACAAGTTCAGGAATAGTGTTATTCCCCATGAAAAGTAGGACTACAGAGTGTGAATGCCATGGCCCGTTATTCTGGAATAATGGGCTTGATAGCATAGATGCACTGCTTAGAAATTCAACATTGGAGGGGTTATTTTAGACTAAGGTCCTAGTGCAGACCAGGCCTTACAGAGACATGGAGACCCAAGTGATATCTTTGGACCAATTTCTGTTGGTGAGAGAGAGAAGCTTTCAAGCTTAAAGACAGTATCTGCCAACACCAAATGAAATTAATAGGAAGTAGATTCAAAACAAACAAAAGGAAGTTTTTCTTCACGCAGCACACAGTCAACCTGTGGAACTTCTTGCCAGAGGATGTTGTGAAGACCAGGACTTTAACAGAGTTCAAAAAAGAACTAGATACATTCATGGAGGTTAGATCCATCAATACATGTTAGTCAGGATAGATAAGAATGGTGTCCCTAGCCTCTGTTTGTCAGAGGCTGGAAATGGATGGCAGGAGAGGGATCACTTGGTGGTTACCTGTTCTGTTCACTCTCTCTGGGGCATCTGGCATTGGCCACTGTTGGAAGACAGGATTCAGGGCTAGATGGATCTTTGGTCTGTCCCAGAATGGCCAATCTTATGTTCACCTTTTTCCTTATGCTAGAGTGGTCCCTTCAGTCCTTAGAAGGAAAACACCCAGTATACCAAATCCTGTGTTGACTTACATCCTGTGCCAATCCAATCCTTCCAATGTCTACTAAGGGGAACTGGTCTTCTAATTAACAAGAATCAACTTTGAAAAGAGCAACCCTAATAAAACAAGGTGATATACACAGGAGTGGTCCGAGGCCGGCTGCAGCAGCTGGTGCCCCAGGCGGGCAGCGCAATTGGCGCCCCACCCCCCATATGGCCATCAATGGCCGTGACATCATCGCGGGGCACCCCAGCGCCCCGTGACATCACCATCAGGCGCCCGGGCCAGCAGCACTCTAAGCAACTGCCTAGTTCGCCTAGGCTCACAGGCCGCCCCGGGTATACATTGGAGGGTAGTCAGTTTCCAATGAGGAAACACATCTAGGTCAAGTGTCCAAGTGTGGTGTCACGAGAAGCATGTGCCAAAAAACCAACAAAGTTGGAAAATTCTAAGGAGGACTCAAATGAAGGTCAAGGGGATTTTTGCATGTGAATGCAAACTAGGAACCTCCAAAGTTCCCTATGACCCCTTACAGACAAAATCAAATGAGCCTGAGATTCCAGGGGGTTACATTTCCTGTGGGGTTGCAGATAATGGTAAACATGCATCCAAACATGGCTTGCCAAATCCAGCTTGCCTTATTCACTTGAGTGGCCTGACAGGATTTGTTCTCTATTGTCTGATGTAAGTATCAAATTTACTCTCATTTTTACATTAAATCAGTACCAGGTGTGATTTGGAAGAAACTCCTTTTATGCCCCAATACAGTCTACCTGGACGTTAGATTTTCATGTAAGTGTCTTAATTTTATGCTCCCACTGGAGCAGAAGTCATGATTCTGCCATAGTACAGTGTGCTCATCTGAGCTGGTGTTTGGGGTGCCATAATTTGCTGCCCGCCTATATCACTAGCTAAGTAGTTTCCTTGGAGCAAAAGAAATCATCTAGGGAATTGTGGGATATACAGGGTCTTCAAATGCTACTTCAGAGTTCCTTGCTCAGGACTATTTTTAAAGGTCCATCTAGCTCCAAGAAATTTGCAACTATTTTCACAATAGTACGCAGAGAGTTTCTTTCATCAGTTAAATACCTTGAAAAACAGCAAGACTATAGCTATAGTCAAATGTGTCTTCACTTTTTGGAAGCTCATGGCCTAGGAGATGAATTCACTTGTTTAAGAACACTTAATGTCAGCCTGCATTAGCTTGTTTCAAAATATGTTGGCTGTGGATTATTCTAGTTTAGAATTCTCTGGGTTATATTCAATTACCTTTTTAAAGTGAGAGGGGAAAAGTATTATTGTAACAGGGAATGAAAAAAAAAGGAGGCCTTTCTTGTACTTCAAGGGAAAGTGAGGGGTGTTTAAATTAAAGTTTTTCGTTTCCATTTACAAGACCCTTCAGGCTGTTAAAGTTTACGTTTTCATAACAAAATGATTGTACTGTTAATTGATGCGTGCAATTGCACACAAATAAGTCCAATTTTTTTATTTTTTTCTTAAGGAAACAGAACTCTACAATTCTCCATTGTAAAGCATGAGCTGATCAAACGATTAACACTGAAAAGCAGCTTTAACACGTTAATGCATAAAATGCAAGAGAGTGATTTATAATAATTAGGTATGCTGTTTATTCATAAATTTAGTTTAATAACTAATGCATCAGCTATTATTTTAAGGTCCAGTACTTCATTTCTCCCATAATCACCTTTCCAAATGGGGGCCAGATTTATTTCACTGAAATCACTTGATTTACACCAGCGAGAATTTGACCCTAGCTGTTTTGAGGATCTAACCCTAATTCCACTGAAATCAATAACAAAACTTATCAGCTTCAACAGAGGCAGACTTGATCCCTGAGTATAAAAGGAGTGCCAGATGAGGTTTCATCAGGATAAATAATGTTCACAGCAAAGGTTGACACAGGCCAGAATTGCATATACATCTTTAATAGAGATATTTTAAACATATATCTTAAAAATTACAATTAATTTCATGTATTTAATCTTGATATTTTAATGAATAATTTCCTGCAAAAATAATTCAGTTTAATGAACAATCTCACTAATAATTTCCCATTCAGTTATATTCTCTTTAAAATTGAGAGAAGCATAATTAGTCATTACATTTCAGCCCAAAGTGGTTTCATTCAATTTCCAGTTGACTCCAATTTGTTGTTTTTAATGTCAATTTCTTTGTAAAATTTTTTAGAGAATCCTATAGAAAGAAAGCCATTAGATAAATGCAGGATGTTAGCTATCTATCATCTCTTTCACTGTTCTACTCTCTTACCCCACTTTGTCTTGTATGCCTCTTTCTCCTTGTACGCCTCTTTATCTTCCACTCTTAATTTCTAGAAAACTGTTTGAAATTTCAGATGGAGAAAAAGCAGGGTTTGCTAATCAGAGCAGCTCAGACCTGTGGAACTCATTTCCACAGGAACTCATTCAAACCAAGAATGTAGCAAGATTCAAAAAAGGATTGGACATTTATATGGATAGGAAGAATTTCCAGAATTATCATGTTTCATTATAACAGCTTTTGTAACCAAATCTAAAGTGCAGGCG